TTTATAATGGTTGAATTTATTATTGAAAAAGATCAGATTTGGCATCCAGGCTTGACATTTTCTTAGAAATGTCTTTAATCAGTCCTGACACATAATTGTATTCAATTAATTACAAATAGTGAATGACATCATTACATCACCAAAGCTGTATCTTTCCATTCCTCAATTTGTTGTCTAGAGATCGATACCAAATTTCACATTACCAGGAGAGAAAATATATAACTGTTCATCCACAATTTAAATTCAGCAAACATTCAATTTAATTTTATAAATATTGAGTACCTGGTATGTGCAAGGCACTGATTCAGCTAATAAAAAATAAATGATTCAGCTTAGTAAAAATAACCAACATTTTAAAGCACCTATTATATGCCAAGTACCATGCTATGTCCTTTGCATATATTATTTCTCTTTTTACACAGCTTTATTGATACATACTTCATATATTATGCAATTCACCCATTTAAAGCATATAATCCAATAGTTCTTAGCATGTTTACAAAGCTGTGCAACCATCACCACTATCAACTTTAGAACATTTTCATCACATAAAAAAGAAACTCTCTAACCATTAGTAGTCATTCCTGATTTCTCCCCCACCCTTTATGTCTCTCCCTGTTCCCCAGCCTCAGGAAACCACGTATCTGTTTTCTGTCTCTATATATTTGCCTATTCTGAATACATTTTATATTCCTTTATATGTGTTATTTCCTTTAATCCTTATACAACCCTACGAGGTAGGTACCAGTGCCATCTCCACTGTACAGACGTGGAAACCGAGGCAGAAAGAGATTAAGTAAACTTCACCAAAGTTATACAGCTAGTAAGTAGCTCAGCCAGGCTTTAAACTCAGGACTGTTTGACTCCAGAGTTCATGCTCTTAATCCCCCGTGAGGGAGATAAAGGGCCTTACGATCTAACATGACAATGATGTGTAAGATAAATGCAGAACAATTGATAGTGGACACTGCCCTACAGGGGTACACAGCATCATGGAGCTCAGGGGTGAAAGATCATCGAAGTACAAACAATCACGGCATTTTTTTCTGTGGTAGGCAGCCTTTGAGCCAGTACTTAAAGAATGTGGCTGAAGCACTCTAGCCCGGGCAAAAGAGTGAGACTCTGTCTCAAAAAAAAAAAAAAAAAAGAATGTGGCTGAAATTGTGAATCAGGATAATATGTGTTCCAGGTCAGGGAAGGAATACACAGGCTGTGTCTGAGATCCAGTTTGGCTTGAATGTAACGATCCCAACCAATGTATCACTTCCGACCTAGGGAAGTGATATTAGCCACCGTGTATTTGTCTTTTAATGCCAGGCTCTTGACAGATGTTGTGTCTGATCTTTAAGACACTGCACAGCCTAGATATCATTAACCTCAATTTGCAGACAATGAGATGGTGGTTCTTGAGGGGTCACAGGGCAAGTAAGTGACAGAGTCGAGATTCGAATCGATCTTCCTGATGTCACGTCCCTGCCCTTTCTGCTGTCTCGTGTTGCCTCACTTCAGGGAGATGAAAAGCTAAGCTGGTGCCAAGTTGAGAAAAGCGTCGATGGCTGAGGTGAGAAGTTTTTACTTACCTTGGCAGTAGAGGCAAGGCAGAGACAACGCTCAAGCTGAGCTCTGGGAAGAGCACTACAATCATTTGGGCAGTAAAAATGAGAGTCTAAATTAGAAGAGCAGCAGTGCAACTGGACGAAAGGGGAGTACATACAAGAAATATGCATCAGTGGTAGTTAGGTGCTTAATACCTGCTTGGGTAGCAGCGAGGAATAGAGAGGAACATATAATGTTTGTGAATTTTCGAGCCTCTCCATTCTCAGAAGGGCATTCTGTCATGGCCATTAGCAGAAATACAGGGGGCAGGAAGAGGAGCTGGCTTTGTGTGACTGAGGACGGGAAAAATGAAAAACTTAATTGGGGGCTGGAGGTGCTGGTGACTTCTGCATCTATCCGGAGATGGGTAACAGACCATTGGAGATTTAGTTTTGGGACAAGATCTAGTTGTCCAAAGAGAGGTGAGAGTCAAAGCCATAGTAATCAACGAAGAATATAGAGTGCAGAAAAATCTGATCTTGATGTCTACTAAGAAGCAGGAGAAAAAAGAGAGTCATACTGTGCACCTATTACGTGCCTGACACTGCGGAGTCTTCCGGGAAAGGTGACAAACGTTCTTGCATTAAGCTTCCGTTCTTGTTCCAGAGATTAATTACTCTTAGGAAACTATGAGCAAACAGTACAAATATTCAAAAGCAAATCTGTAGGGTATAAACAATAAGAGTAAAAGGGAAAGGGATTGATGTGTTTGAGACATTTGGGAGGCAAGGAGAAAACGTGAGCACAAGGTATAAGAGGTAGAAATTGTGCTCAGGCTGACACCAGGGTAACATGGCTGGGGACACAGTGACAGAACTTTCGGTGCTTTCTCTGTTGCCCAGGGGCGAGCATGGGGGCAGAATAGTATAAATAAGCTTTGGGGTTAGGGAGACCCCAAATCTTATATCTCCCTTTACCAATGGTATAATATCGGGCAAATTTCTTAGTTTTTCAGAACCTATTTTTTTTTAAAGTGAGTATACTTATTTAATAAGGTGATTGTACACATTCAGTAAAATAACATATGAAAGGTATTTATCCCGCTCTTTTTTCCCTGCTGCGGCGAGGGGTTCGGTCGTCATCTGTGGAGTAGCTGTCTTGCTCTGTAAACCTATATCTTGCTCTTGCCCTGCAATGCTATTACAATCCTGTCTTTCTTTCCTCAATAAATTTCACCTTATGCTTGCCTTAAAAAAAAAAAAAGCAAAAAAACAAAAGTATTTATCCCACTGTATTATGGAGCAAGGTTGGGGAAGACCTAAGTTGTTTCTCTTGCTGCCACTTGCACCGCGGGATCACCCATATTTTCCGTTCTTCCCTCCAGCTCACCTTCCTGGACACGCATGTTACACGTGTGCAGGACTCTGGTTTATCCGCTTCGCTCCTATTCAGGCACAGCTGTGGGGTCCACACTAATTGTGAACTGCCTCCTGCTTTCATTGATACGCTCTAGTCCACAAACATTTATTGAGCACCTACCATGTCCTAGTTACTGTGCTTGGCCCTTTTGGGATATAGAGGGGAAAAGACCTTGAAGTCCTCAAGATACTTGAAGAAGAGAAACAGCCTCTGGGCGAGTCACCGTCGGAGTCCGGAAGGTGGAGAAAGCGACGGGTGCTGGTGTCAGCGAGCACCTGTGGAAGAGAGTCCCTTAAACTAAGTCTGACAGGCGCTGGCATCCGCCACCTGGAGACTGGGAGAGGACGAGAATACGGGACGTGCCGACCAGGGAGGGCCTCTCAAAGCGCCTTACATCGGGCCGGCACGTACTAGGTGGAAACCGCGTTTTACTTGCTCGGAGGCCTGAGCCGTTGGACAGAGCGAGTGCACAGAACCGCGACCTTGCGAATAAAGCGGCCACAGTGACAGCAGCGGGTGGCTGCTGCGGCCACAGAGCCGCGATTATTCTGGAACTGACGGGAGTGACGATCTATTTGTACAATCGGTGAAACAGCGTAAATTCTGAGAAACCGCTGTTTCCAGACTTGGAGTTCATCCCTGTCAAACCCTCAGCTTGTTTTCTCGGCCCGGGTGAAATGCGCAGCCAGAAGGCCCAATTAGCGTGAAAGGGAAGGGGGCAGGGGTGGTCTCTGCGGATGTAGTTAGGCTCCTCCCGAGTCCAGCAAAGCTCAGACTTCGCCTCATCAAACATGGCTTCCTTGCGGTGCCTCTCCTCGTTTCATCCAACTTCCACCTTTGGCCACACTTAACATGGCTCTACCCGAAGGTTACGTTCCCGTGGCACCGTCTCGGGACGGTTCTCGCGAGGTTTGCCTGGGCTCCGACGGCTCCCGCCCTGCCTCGCGCCGCCGCCACAGCCACTGCCGCCGGCGCCGCTCCTCCTCCGTGTCAGTTGTTGGGCTGTAATGGCGACTGGGCCGCCCCTGCCAAAGTGACTCCCAGGCGGGGGAGCCGGGCCAGACCTGCGCCAGAGGGAACTGCAGAGAGCCGCGGCTCAGGGGTTGGCTTGCTGCGGGGGAGGGGAGGCAGCCTCTCCGCCTCTTCTTCCTTCCCGGCAGCCCGGAGGATCCCCGGAGCCGGTGCGAGGCGGGCACCCGGTGCGTCCCCGGAGCGGGGAGGCCAGGCGGGGCAGCCCTGGGGCCGGTCGGGGCGGCGTCACCGCACCCTCCGCCAGGCCCCGCGGGATGCGCCGTGGGAGCCGAGGGCGGAGGCCACACTCTCAGGTGAGCTGCGGGAGGACCTGGCTGCGTCCGCGGACGCTCCCTCAGCCCCGGCCGCCTCTGTCCGCGGTCCCGGGTCCCGGGGTGGCGGCGGGAGACGCGGGGCGCGGCGCGGGGAGTCCTGGCCCTGCCTGGCGTCCCCTCGGGAAGCCTCCCTCGGTCCCGAGGCCATTCGGGGAGGGCCAGCCTGAGCCCCGGGTTTCAGGTCCCTCCGGCGCCTGCCGAAGACCGAATTTCCTTCCTCACCTGCCAGTGGCCTCCCCCCATCCCCGTCCCTCCTGTCGCCTTCGTCCCGGGAGAAATGTCCTTCATTTGGAGATCAAGCCCCGTTTGGGAAATTCCGGGGAACTGGCACCAGTGGCAAGGATGACCAGTTTCTGTTCCTTTTTGGTGGGAATAACATTCTCGTGTAGGGAAAACTTTGATGTGCTCCAGTCTAGCAGCTGCTGAATGTCGTCTGCCGGCGTATTCGCAGATGATTTGGGGGGAGACAGCTTCACGCTTTGGAAGTTGTCAGTGTTTACCCCTGCCTCGTTTTAAATGCAGCCCGACATGCTGGCTAAATGATATTTAGCTCAGGTGACAGATATGTGTTGGAATTTGCCTGGATTTTAATTTTTCAGATAAGGAAGTTGCACGTAGGTATAGATTTTAACGTGGTTTTAATGATAGTAGCAGACACCTCATATGGGGGAAAAACATGTTGTCAGGGTTGGTGATCGGTATCCATGTCCTCCACCTGATTTGTTTGGATGGTGATCCTTGTTTTGAATTTGAACAAGTCGTTAGTGTTACTATGTTAACTCTACCTCCTGCTCGGTAATTGAACAGTTTTAAAGGAAAGGCTATCTGCGGACCTAGTAACAACCTGAAAAGTTTTGTAGAAGCAATGATGAAATACTGAAAGTTACCCTCTGTTTAAACAATTTCTAAGTGTAAAATATTGTTTTTAAACCAGGAAATGTGCTGCTGATAATAACGTGGAATTGTGACTTTGGGGGATTAGTTTTTAGACTTATGCTAGAAGTTGCTTCAAACCCACGGGCATGTAATAACGAGTAGTTTTGGTGTGCTAAATTGACAAACTCCATTCAGTGTAATAAATCTGAACCATTGAACTGTCATTGCATTAAATTTAAGATACTTTAATCAGAAAATAAATGTCAAGCTAGAATACATTGTATGTGTGGATAAATACATGTGTATCTCATCTTTTTACAGTAGTAGAACTTTGTGTTTGTAGAGATGGTGAGTTATAGATGTAAACAATTTCATACACATGTGAAAGAATTTCTCTGATTCTGGGAGATATATTGGTGTGTGTGTTATGTAAGAGTGTTAATACTTGAACAGCCAACCTTCTGTGGGGTAATCGATTTATGAATTATAAAATTTTCGAACTTTTCTCTTTTCCTGATTGCCAGTCTTTTGTCCATTTTATAACACTTCTACCACATAATGAACAGAAGAAAAGAGATGAAGTCCCTATATACCTACCCAATTTTATTTGTTAAATTGCAGTAAGTTGTAGTGGGAGCAAAAAAGAAGCTGTTGTCTAAAATAACTGACATCCTTTTTTGGTGTGCTTCCACATACTTTATTTAGTCTTCACACCAATCTTGTGAGGTAGGTATGGCAAATATCTTTATTTTGTAGTTGTGGAAACTCACACACCCAGGGAAGTTCATTTATTTAGGTGAATACTGCTCTCATTTCTGCAGATAATCTAGAACTAGTTTATTTATTTATTTATTTATTTTTTGAGACAGAGTCTCACTCTTTTGCCCGGGCTAGAGTGAGTGCGGTGGCATCAGCCTAGCTCACAGCAACCTCAAACTCCTGGGCTCAAGCGATCCTCCTGCCTCAGCCTCCCGAGTAGCTGGGACTACAGGCATGTGCCACC